CCCAAGTAAACTGTCACCCCAACCTGTTGCTGCCCCCATTTTCACCCTCACAGCGGCTAATTGCCCTTATGAGATGCCTTTCCACTCAAAAATATCTAGCAATGAGCTTTACTCCTTACCAGACAACCCAGTGTCCCCCACCACCTCCAAATCATATATTTGTGGTTTTTCCATCTTTTGAATTACAAGTAAGTGCCTGTTAAAAGCACAATTCACGTATAATGTTTGTTCAGTTAATTAATAACTCATACATACATATACTATACATTTTTTCACAACACAGGCTCATTGATTTCACTATGAATGAACCATGGGTGCTTATAAGGACTGTAAATCTCATCTCATCAGCCATGTGACATTTTGTGAATGTTTACTTTTTAATGCAAACAGCTGAATGTTTATCAGAGCTGTCATGTTTGGGGTCACTTCCTGCTACTCATCTTTATGTAAATTAATACAACGCTGTCACAAAACAAACAGCATGTTTTCTTCTGATATAATTTGCTGCATTTTAAGAGAAATAAGCTGAAAGCAGAACTACGTGACTGTTAAAATGATTCCTACCTGGAGCTGCTGCAGCCGGCGGGGTCGGCTGTGTGCTTTGACCAGCGGGAGCTGTAGCCACCGGAGCGGAGCTTCCTCCTGGACATTCAACACAAAAACACAAATTCAACTGAAACAAACAGAAAACAAGTTTGTGGAAGATCTGTGTGATCTCTATTGAGTTTCTAGAATAAAGTCCTTTTTTAAAAAAAAGACTTTTGTTATTAGTAGTTTACTGCATTTTAGATGCATAATTAATGTGACTACATACATACCCCAGTTTAGTGTGTTATAGCTTAAAGTTGAACTATGGTGCTGGTGTACATAGAGGTGTACACCCCTAGAATTCATGGTAATGTGTTATTACCCATTTGTGTAGGTATTTAGCTACACAAAGTAAAGGATGCATTTTTTGTCTGGAGTCATCCCTTTGCGGGAAAAGGAGTGACAGGAGAGTTAACCAGGAGGGGGAGACGTGAAAGAAAACAATCAGTGTTCAAAAAAGTGACATGCCAAGCACAGGTGACGGCCATGGCAGACAGTTTTCATTGTTTTGAAAAGTACATTTTAACTTTGGTTCTCCCCCTTTGGCTGGTTGAAGGACCAGAAACGGCACATGCATGAGTACTCCACAGACCGGTTGTTCCACATATTTTTGACATTGCCCCCTGGTGATGGTAAACATGTAGATGATGGCCTGTGAAGCAGTACACCGAAGAACTGACTGAAACTGAATGTCAGGTCTGAGCTTTTGTCTCAGGTTGATTATTTGTGCATACTCTGACCTCATTATTTACATTTTCTGTCATGTTTAATGTGGACATTAAACATGACAACCCCTGCAACAGCACACACACACAGAATATCAGATGAAAAAGATACTTTTTCAATCATTTGTAATGCTGACACAAAACAAAGTGTTTTTTCTGGCTGATGGAATGTTGAGAAATGTTCAGCTTTGTGTAAAACGCTGTCAGAAACTACTTAGGTAAGTACTAAACAGAAAAGTTTATTACTGCCTGTGCCAAACAAATATTCACCATACTGACATGGACAATAAAGCTTAGAGGGAGATGTAGTTTAGTCTTGGATATTACATTTTTGAATAATCTCACCAAAACATCGCAGCTGAACAAGCCCCGCCCATCTGCTGTTCAGGCCTTCTGTTTGCAACGGGCAGCCAATGAGAAGAAAGTTGGCTTAAAAGGAGAGGAGTTATAACTGAGGTTCTGCTCTAAGGCCCAGTATAAGATAAACAATGGCCTATAACAACCCTAACCCAACAGGATAGCAGATTTCTAACCAATTAAGACAACACAGACTGATTGCTTTTACTGTACTTGAACCACTGGTGCCAGTTCCTTGGTGTGTTCATCATAACAAAACTGAAATTTCACGCTAGTGTTTCTCACCCTGTCCTGGAGGTGAAGGAAGGCCACTCAGATCCACTGACTGTCCTTTTTCCAACGCCTCGATCGCTGCATCGAAACTCTGGATCAAATTTAAAAGAAAAAAAGGTCAAACATAATGATGGTCTTTGTGAGGATCTGCATTTTTGGCATGTTTCACATTCTTCAGAGAGAAACCCTGCCAACAGAGTGTGCAGCAACACAGTGTGGGGATAACAACGTGCAGTACTATGCTACTATTTGAACTCTAGATTCAAATAAATGTTTTCTAAATCTTACAGCACTGGAAATCAAATCAGACACGAGCGATGAATGTACAGAGGATAACAGAATGCTTTTTCTTTTTTTACCGTGTTTGTTAACTCTACAAGATTTGATGCATGCTCAATAATTCTGGTGAGGCAATCCCAGAAAGTTTGTATGGATGCAGTGTTTTCGGGAGAAGAAACATTTCATCAGTCATCACAGTAATCAAAGAAATTAAATGTTTCTTCCCCTGAAAACGCTGCGTACAGATAAACAGAATGAACTTTCTGAGATACTCCAGGGGTGTATCAGGAAGGAAATAAAGCTAATGTTCAGAAAAATATAATTACTGTATAATAAAATGACCAAGCATTAGTGGACATCAGTTTGTTTAAGGCTGAAAACTTTAGATGACTCAAATTTCCCACTAAAAAGAAGAACATACAGCAAAGGACACACAAAGTGAATCTAGACAGTTGTTGGTGATAAACCACAACGTTTTTGTTCTGAATTCTTAGCTGTGGATGTTACTTTTCATTCTATTTTGGTTTGTAGCATTTAAAGTAAATCAACATATTCTTGAAAATGGTGCCACCCTGCTGTAGTACAATCTTTAGGTGGCACCTGGAAGTAAAAGTTAGAGAACAGCTGTCCTGAAACACCCACCTCACCAGAAGCCATAATCACGCCCTCTAATCACCTTAATCATGGCAGCATACACGACCAAACAGTCATTATACTTCATTGGCTGTTATTTCTCAAAGGTCTATTTAAACACATCAACTGACTTTCAAAAGATTTTCAGTAAACCTGACCTCTGAGCTTTCCCTTGTCACCAAATGTACAAGGCCACCAGCATGTACATCTATGATATCTATCGATTTGAAAATCCCACATTGCCACATTTCAAGTTATGTTCACTCGAAATCATTTAATCTGATCATGCCTGATAACAAAGAAAACAGCTGGTGATACAAGTTTAAAGAGCAAAACAAAGAGGACAAGAGCAGTGTGAGGATACGCGCCTCATGAAGGCTCTGATTTCAAAAAGATATCTGGATTAATTAATCAAATTCTTCATGTTTTTTGAGGAAAAAAAACATTTATTTGAGAAGAATTTAATTCCAGTTTTGCTCCCCCATCTCAAAATGTTCCCAGATCCAAATAGACACCAAAAAGTTAATAACAGAAAAAAAAAAAAAGGAACCAATTCCTGCTTGGTAAAGGTAAGTATTAGATTTTTCTTAAAAATAATCCTGTGAGACATCATGTTGAAAACAGACACACGGTATCTATTATCAAAAATGCAGCTTTTACAACATTCCTACAGAAGAAACTTCCTCTGCTCAGAAACATTGCTGCACTTCTCATCGGAAAAAGGCTTCATTCTGTGTATACACACAGACACAAACACGCTAAACAGGAAACAGAAACGCCGTTTTGAATTACACTGTTGAAGGCCAGAAAATACACAATTTCTTACAAAGACGTGACAAATGGCTACATGTTTCTGTCTGAAATCCTTTTATCTGATTTAATATAAAAACATCACATTGAAAATGTTTTTAAACCATCTACAACAGACCTGTCAGACCACAATTCAGTCTGCTGGTTATCTGTCACTTCATTTTGAACACATCACTCATAGCTGCCGGTCTCTGACTCACCTTGCTGGTCTTGAAGTAAAGCTTAGCTTGCTCCACGTCTCCTTGCTTCTTGGCTCTCAGCGCTGCCATCTTGTACTCTTGCTGTCTCTCCAAAAGCATCTTCTTGGTGGCCTTGTTGGCTGAGGGTTCACCGGACAAATCAGATGTCAATTCCCACAGTGAAAGGCCTCATTCATCGCAATAATGAGGAGGGAGAAGACGACAGATTCGCCTCAGCTATATCAGTCATCAGCTTCCCTCCGATCCAAACTCAAATGTGTGCAAACCATGATCAAATGCATCATAGCGTGCTAAAATACAGAAAAAAATATAATCTAAACCTAAAATGTGTTGGTGGTCACTTTATATAGCCTGTTTAAGAGTTGAGAGGTCTTTACATAATACATAAATAATAAAAATATAATAATAAATTTTGATGAAGATGGGGTTTTTTCATCGATTGGAAGATTAAAAACATCTACTTGTCACTGTTCTCTGGTCAGTTTAATCTGGCTTGTTTTGATAATCAGCGTCAAGCGTAACAGATATTCTAACACAGACAGATTGCTTTTACTGTGCAGCTCAATTATGCCTATAGCTGTAGTCTCCATGCCAATTCTGAGCAAAGAAAAACACGGTCTAATGTGCAACTCAAGAGAAACTGACCATCTGATTGTGAAACGTCAGCAGCTTCCTCATCGGTTTGCTCCTGAGGAGATGGGAGGCTGCTCAGAGTGGATAGGGCAGCAGAAGACGATTGCTCCTCCTCGCTGCTGGGTGTGATGACATCGGGCGCGGCAGGTGACTGTGGTGATGTGGCCTCCGACTCCCGTGACTGAGAGGGCTGAGGTGGCGATGGTACAGGGGGAGCAGGCCTCGCAGGCACAGCTGGTCGCGGGGCAGCGCTCGGGGCTCCGGTGGCAACAGGCGGAGGGATCTCTGCCTCATTTACAGGCCTTCCTTTTTTCACAGCACCCAACATTGACTCCAACGTCTGTGAGAGAAACCATAAATTCATAAAGTCAACAAAGACGCCATCATGTGTAATAAAAAGGCTTCATCGCAGAAATCTAATCACTTAAGACTCACAAGTGTAAACAATGACCAAGAGGTTTTATGGGCGGGAGTAAGAAAGAGATGAAAATCTTTTACATGAGGTGTTTTAAGAAATGCAAACCAAAACTGCATCTTCTGACTGTGACATAACGAACAACTTGGTGTAAATTCATGCCCTCTGCATGTCGTACCTTCAGACCACGATCATATCTCCTGGCTTTTGAGGACTCCCCTGCTGTCTTGGCGTTCTGCAGGGCTGTCTTGTACATTGCCAACCTCTCCTCCAGGGTGTGTTGGAGGCTGCCGGGGGCTGCCGCAGAGACTTTTACTTCCTCCTACGAGTGTGAGACCAAAACAACCTAAGAAGCAGCTGGAAACATCTGGTTAAAGGAAGAAATGACTCACCGTGCAAAACATGTTGACATAAACAACATATTTTTCAGTTTCTGTCCATCTACATCTTAACCTTAATCATATACTTAAAATTCGAGGCACTTTAAGCATCCAAAGTTTTTAAAAGACACTAAAATGCAGATGTGAGGAAATACATCACCAGGAATGAAGTCAGACTTACTAGAAGGAATGAAAATAATTTACCTCAACTGCATCTAGTCAACAGAAGCTGATCACGTGCCAGTTGAACAACTGTTGTTTGTGTAAAAGTTTAAAAGATCTTTGATTTCATATTTTTAAAAAAAATAGGCGGCAAGTTTTATAAAACCTCAACAGGTAGGACGTTTCCTTTGCCTTTCTTTTCAGTTACTGGCAACAGGCAAAAAAATCTCCCATTTGACAAACATGTTGATGGTGTCAGTTTCAAGTTTGGCAGAAGCAGCGTGTATTGTACCTGTGCCGCTGGGGACTCTGGTGTTTCACCCTTAGAAGATTCAGCAGGGGCAGAGGATGTGGAGGAAACATCCTCAGCTTCCTCCTCACCCACCACTTCCTGTAGCTCTGCCTGATAGAGGGGGGAGAAAAAAAAATGCAACCGATCAACAGTAAGCTTTCTCTGTGCACACACAGAGCTGGATTTCAGAAGCAGCGAGTGGGAGTCACGCTTCCCATCTGTTTGATAAATGGAAATACTGCGAAGCAGAAAGTGCAGAACATAAAAAAAAACAAACCAACTGTAATTTACAGCTTAAGAACACCATGATTACTGTGTGAGCTATAAAACTGACGGGCACAGAGAGGCCAGAGTGAATTTATTTATTGGTTTTTATTGGTTTTAGTTCATGGAGTCAGTTGATAGTGACTGTGAGTTAATATGAGTAAAATGCTGTTCTGTTCCAGTTTTTCAGGGTTAACAAGATGAGCAGTGACTTAGAAAAAGCACACATTTGCCAAAGGAACGTCATCTTTTTGGCTACAGATCACTTTCTGACTACTATACACTCAACGGACACTTCATTAAGTACACCTAGTTCCAGGTTGACCCTCTTTTGTCTGAAGAAATGCTTTAATTCTTAGTTACTTAGATTCAACAAAGTGCTGGAAACATTCCTCAGAAATTCTCAGCCCATACTGAGATGACAGCATGGAACAGTTACTGTAGATATGCAGGAAGCACATCCATATGAATCTCCCTTTCCGCCACAACCCAAAGGCGGTCTATTGGATGGGATCCGCTGACTGTGGAGGCAATTTGAGAACAGTGAACTTGCTGTCATACTCAGGAAACCAGTTTGAGCTCATTTGAGTTTTTGTGATAGGAGATAATATCCTGCTGGAAGCAGCCATCAGAAGCTACACTGTGGTCATAAAGATGGTCAGAAATTACCAGCAACAACATTTAGGTAGGCTGTGGCATTCAAGCAGTGCACCATGGACACTAAGGACCCCAAAGTGAACTGCCACTCGCTGGAGAGTTTCTCTTTTTCAAACCATTCTCTGTAAAGCCCAGAGATGGTTGCATGAGGAAAATCCCAATAGAGCAGTTTCTAAAGTCACTTAAATCACCTTTCTTCTTCACTCTGATGCTCATGCTTGAATTTCAGCAAGTTTTGCTGACCATGTCAACATGCCTAAATGCACTGAGTTGAGGCATGTGATTGGCTGATTAAATATTTGTATTAAAGAGCGGTGGAACAGGTTTAGCCGCGAAAGTGGCCAGTTGGTGTAATTGTGCATTTGTTAAAACACAGCTACAAGGAACTGGAAACCATGACTCCTAAGGAATCTAACACGAAGCACGATTATTGGGTTAGTGAGCCACATCATTCTAAAAGGATAGAATAAAGTGACCTAAAACTTAAACCAGACTGGTCAATGTATTTGTAGACTTTTGATCACCAACAATATCCAAGCTCGCTTTGATTAGGCCGGAAAGTCATTTCCACGTCTCTGCCATGTATGGGACTTTATCACTGCACTCAGTAGCCTTTCATCTTTAAATCTATGCAGTTTACAGTTTTAAAGCTCTGGTGTGCACTGAAAACATACCAAGTTATAAAATAAACACATCAGCCTAGATTTCTGATTGCTTGCTGGCCTTGCCTAAAGTTTGGGAATGGATCAAACAGAGCAGGTTATTTAAACACTAACCAACAGGTCTTCATCGTCTTCGACATTGTCGTCATCATCATCATCCAGGTCCTTCATACACTCGTCTGCCATTCTTGCGATATCTTCCATGGGTAGGGGACCTACAACACAATCAAGGTGTCATGAATTCACATTATAAGCAGAACAAATGAAGCAATGCAGTGTGGATGAAATCTTCTAAAACAAAGAATTCACAAAGAGTGATTGTCCGGGGAATAATTATCACACATTCACTAGACTCAGCCAACAGTCAAAGTCTCCAAATGAAAGAGAGCATTCTCACAAAAAAGTTTTATAAACCTAAAACTTGAAGATCATCTTTTCTCTGTCAGTGCGCCCCAGGGCGGCTGTGGCTACAATGTAGCTTGCCATCACCAGTGTGTGATTGTGTGTGTGAATGGGTGGATGACAGGTTGTGTAAAGCGCTTTGGGGTCCTTAGGGACTAGAAAAGTGCCATACAAATACAGGCCATTTACCATTTATGAGGTACTATTCAGTTGTTAAAGTTAAATCGAGTCCACACTCTTGACTTAAACCTCTAAAATACACTTAGAAGTGAAAGACTCGTCGTGTTTGGGGAGAGCACAGCAAAGATTGTTGAAACTGTTTCAGTGGTTTCGCTGATATTTTTACATTTAGCTGTGATAGGCTAAATGATTCACTGTTGTACATAAACAATCCTCTCCCACTGGTATAGTCTGTTTCTTTCTACCACTATCTTCAAGTGGGAATACACTCTCTGGTGTGTTGTTGTTTTTTTGCACTTTATGGACTGTGAAGTACAGCTGCTTAATTCCAGTATACTCCTAATTATTTAATAAAATCAGGAGTGACACAATTACTCACAGACTTTGAGAAAAAAAAAACTGGTTGATTCATTAAACTTTAGAAAAAAACATATTTTATTTTATTTCTTTTACCATTAATTATATTTAGATGAACTAAACCTGCTGCAGTCTGGTAAGGAGGTGAAGTCAGACACTTATGGAGGAAAGGGATGTACTAATTGTTGGAAATAAAAATGTGGCACAATAATTGTTATATCTCAAGTATCTGGTTTTAATAATTGTCGGAAGTCAAAACTCAAACTTAAATTAAAATTCTACTTCTAGCACATCCCAACTATGGACAGTACTTGTGTTGTCTTAACGAGGTCTAAGTCAAATTATTTATATACACATTTGTGGTGGCTAAGGTGGCAACCTCCAGAACTAAAAAATGATGCTGAAGTGCTACAAACTGCAGTTTCTGGAGGCATGTAAATCCCCAGATTTCTACTTAAAATGTTCACATTTACTGCATTAAAAAGTTTGCTTACAGCCTGGTACAAAAAAAAACAGTCTTGGCTTCTATGAATAGTTACTAGTAGCTTTTTTTGGCCTACATTCATCTTTACACTATCTATGGGGTTGACCATATTCAGGACAACTCGGGACATCGACTCAGGAGATCTAAACCCCGACTTTAGAAGCTTTGAGTTTTTGTTGCAAAAAGAGAGCTAACTTACACGCTGAGTGAGCTTCCAGACTAACAAAGTCTGTGCACCTAACATGCTCACTGACAGTTTTTCCTCAACAAACTCTGATTTTATCTCTGGGTACTGCGTTCCTGCTATACCTTTATTCTTTATTCATTCATTAAAAGTCCCGTCAGGGGTAAAAGATCAAATATGAACAAGAAATATGAAAAAAAAAACACACGTATCAACAAATTACCCGGTGACAGTGTGTGTGACAGTGGGCAAGAGAGGGAACTTTTACTATATCTTTCTTCCCTGATTCTGTCTAACAAGCCACAAAAATGAATTCACTTTGCAATGCCTCCATATGACAACACACTGCTGGTCCAAGCAAAGAAATCTCCGATCATACTTTTGGTACCTAATGGTCTTCCTGCATAGCAAATCTGCACAAATAATCAAATTATATTAGCAATAACAATGTCCGCTTCCGCTCAAAACCCAATTACTTACAGGTACACTTCCTGCTGGGCTGCAGCATGCTTTCAGGTAATTTATTTTTAACATTTGGGATGGCTGTGGCACTGGAGTTAGATTTAACTAATTGGTAGATTGGTGGCTATCCTTTGGAAAGACACTGAACATCCATCAGAGTGTGACTGGATGAATGAGGGTTGTAGTAAGAAAACATTACAGAGTACAAAGGAATCCACTGTTAAAATCAGTTCACTAAATATACAAAATTACAAAGGCTGTGAGTGATCTCAATACTGACCACAATAACAGCTATAATTAAGCAGCTCTACCAACCAACAAACCCTCTGCTTCCTGTTTACACTGACACATAAAGTGTAGTTGCATGATCTTGCGAATCATGTCTAAAGGCAAATTAGTAAATTCGGAGGTTATGTTCGAAACTGCTAAAACACACACCTGGATGGTGACTGCATTTGTGTGGATGTAGCCTGAGACTGTGAGTGCAGCGCTTAAATGACAGCAAATGTTAGCTGTACCTACCACATGTGTAGAAGGGTGTGTGTGGAGGTGGGGTTTTCAGAACTTTAAGTTATAACTACTGCACTTACTTTTCCCCTTCTGCCTGGCTTTTCCTCCTGCAGCAGCCTTTTTTCCAGTAATAGCAGCAAGTTCCGCCTCCAAATCCGGGTCGTCCAGGTTTCCGTCCATGCCCATCATCATCTCCTCGGGGTTCAGGTCTACAAACAGACCCATCTAAAAGCAGGAAGTAAGGGGATAAACGTCTCCACGCTGACATATTTCTGAAGAGAAAACCTCCTGTTTGCAACCTTATGTTTACTGGAGTTGTTACCTGCTTGGCAGCAGCGGCGCCCTGGCCTTTGGGCTGCGGTGCTCTCTTCTTCTTACCAAACATGTTTGTTTTGGTTTCTTGTTGTAGAAATATCCCCTCGGAGACACCCCGGTGGTCCAAACCTCACCTACACGAACACACGTACACTTTAAGAAAATATGTCGGTGTTCTAATCAATGTCGGTTGCAGTAGTTGTTGAAATCATGTGAGCGGTTGTCAGGTGGCTCCCGAACAGGCTGCGAAAACGAGCTGCCAAACAACGGTGACGTTAGCCCAGCTAGCTGCTAGCCAACCATGTCTGTCGGCTCTTAAGTCTAAAAGTTAATTTATAAACAAGATGGAAACTACTTCTGTATCTGCCCGCGAGGGCTTCAGAGAGATTATCATACCGCGAAAAGACCGTTTACATTTACCTGTTCGTTCACAACTTCATCAGGTAGTTTTCAGAGGAACAGTTTCATTTCTATGCTTTGACATGATAATGGATTTCTTTGAACGCGCATGCGCTAAGCCTGGGAGCACCCTAGCGCTGCTCGAAAGTTGAATCCCTGAGTCATGTCTGCCAGGCAACGAGGGTGTCCCCACTGACTAAAGAAGCAAAAATACAAGCCACGTTTATTGAGTAAGTCAGGTTTTCCTGCGTGTAAAACATTTGGTAACGAGGTTTTTCATAAATGTATTGGCTTACTTCTCTAAGTAGTAACGCAAACATAAATACACTAACTTCAAACAAACATAATACACGATAGTGATGCAGATCCTTAAAAATGCTTTTCTCCAGAAAACAGATAAAAGAGAAAACACAGAGAACAAAATGTTCAAATTCAACAAATATTTCAAGTGACATACTGTCAGAAACGGTCAGATCTAAATCTGTCAAACAATTCAAAGACGGTTCAGAGATTTTTACAGATGCTTTTATTTGGTTCATAGTACACATCTTTCTCTTTGCAGTGAAACTTTGAAATAGTCTGTTTATCTACTGCTCAATATTTATTTTATTTTTTCCCCAGGACAGTAGATCATTCTTTTTTTACGTTTTATTTATTTCCCAAAAGCCACTTCTCAAACTGTTTTGATCTTTCTACACTGCCAAATAACAATCTTCTGTATTTAGTTTCAGTCTCTTTTAAAGACTTACTGTTTTTGGGCTAAAACATTCTTATATACATAAAGACAGCCTTTAAAAAAAGACTTTAAAAAAGACTACTTATTCAAAGATGTGGCTTGGTTTTTATACTTCTCAGGCTCAAATAACAGCAAGTAGCCGTGAAAATGGTCAAATCCACATGTTTATCACACATGTTTGTATGTATTCATACTTTGTTTTTTGTTTTTAAATTTCTTAAAATGGAGATCTAGTTTCTGAAAAATTACCACTTTCATTTACACGCTGTACTAAGACTTAAAATATTAGGGCTATTTTTTCCTAACACAGAATACAAATACAAACATTTTGTTAACAAAACACTTTTTATTTTGTCTGTAACAGTTCATATGACAAAAATGTGTTCAATAACCGGTATATACTTCTCATGTTTAGTGCAAAGAGAACTTGATCCAGGTTTATGTTAGGGTTATACTGGGTTATACTGAACTGAAATAAGGTTTCGATTTAAACAAAAACATTTGCAAACTCTCGGCTGGTGTAAAGTTACAGATCCCTGTTGTTGCTGCTGAGCAGTTTGGGATAGGACGTGCCGATGGATTGCCCGTGCCGACAGACGACCAGCTCCAGCACGTACTCGTCCACTTTCACCACCACAGACGTCATCTTCTCAGTCGACATGAGGAAGATGATGGTGAAGAGAGCGACCTCAAACTCTGGACTGACACCAATGAAGGAGCCACCGACAGGCTTCACCAAGCCTTTCCAACTGAACTGCAGGTTCAGGACGTGGTCGTCCTCATCAGGCTTTAAAAACAGTAAATGCAATTCAGCGACATGTGCGGCTATTTACTTTTCAATCAGTGCTTTTACAGTAACGAGCTGCTGTATCAGTTTCTTACTGTGTCTTTGTTATCTCTTGCTTTGTAGCCTTTATAGTCCACATGGTCGTGCTTTTCCTGAAGGTAGAACTGCACCCAGTTGTGAAGACCCATGATCTCCTTTCCATATTTGGCTTCTCCCACAAACACATGTTCAAATCCACAGGAATCCTCACTGTAATGAAAATAAAACCAACCAGCACACCCAGAGATACTTAAGTTCAGTCTCTCAGTGCTGTATGACCTCATTCATATCAAGACGCCTTATCTACAATGTTAACATTGCGGGGCAGACAGAAGGATAACAGCACAGATGGCAGCAGAGCCGGTGACTCACTTTTAACCCTCAAGTAACCAAGCCTCATTAACGACTAATTTATGAATGACTCCATTATATTTTATACAGGAAAACCTTTCTAATGGCTGTGTGTGATTATCATACCTATGCTGTTTTATTGTAATTAAAAAGATAAGTTAAAAAGCACAAACTGTAGGAAGAGACAAACTGTCACATCTTATAAAACAAATTTTCTTTGTTTCAGTGTAACTAGAAAAATAATACATTTTAAATATTAAACTAAACAAAGATTATAACCTCTGCACATTTGTACTCAACACTTCTCCTCCTAGTCACCTGTCATTGATCCAGGTGTTCAGAACTTTCAAAATTAAAAATTCAAGTAAAAAATTAAAGAGTGAGTTATGTATTACAGTGTGTTAACATCATTTTAACACCCAAATGTAGATAATCTAGTGACTCTGATCAAGAAATTAGAATTAAGTTATCACACTCTGTTGTTCATCCTGTGCAATTGTGAAAATGAGATGAAAAAAAATAAAGATGACAATAATAACAAAGGCTATAATGTTACTGTATAATGTTAAATATCAGTCTTTTCATTGTGCTTGCTACATTGGGGCTAATTTCTGGAAGCATTTTTTATTTATGATTAAAAGTGTCACAAAAACAGATGTAAGTATTTGGCTGGAGTTACAAGGTTAACCTCAGGAAGATTTAAATACATGTAGTTTATTGTCAGCCTTTTCAGACAAAAGCAGCTGTTAATTAACACAGAAAAAAACAAAAAATAAACCCAAAACACATTCAGGGAACACTGTGTTTTATTTTTAGATTCTTCACTGATTCTTGAGTTGTAAATTCATCTGCTCGTTCTGCTCCAGACCTGGATCTCATTTAAGTTTGCCTTTAACCAATCATTCAAACCGGTCCCTTCCTTCTCTTTTAAACATTGCAGCAGCGCCCCCTGTTGTTACAGTTACTCACCCTCCGCTCCTGTCCCTGTGGTACAGGCGGAACCAGATGTCATACAGCTGTCTCTTGAACTGCCCAAGGTCTGATGGTGACTTCCCCTTCTTGACCAGATACTGGTGAGCACACTAAGAAATAAAAACACAGTAACATACTTTGAAATTTCAGACATCCGAGTAAAAGATGTGACCTATCAATAGTATCGGAATAAACCATCGCTACATTAGAAAATTAATTCTTAGCCTTGGAAAAAAAAAAAAAAAGAGCAAAAAAACAAAACAAAAAACAGATCAATGCCTGGAATGAAAATTCGAGCCAGCATAGATCAAAAGATCAAAAGTGCCTGGAAAATAAAAATACCCCCTCCCCCCCTCCCCCCAACGCAAACTTAAACACAACACTGAAGTTAAAGTAATGAGTCACAGGAAAATCTAATCTTACTATAATAAACTAATCTCTATTTGAACTCCTACACAATCTGGAGATGATAAACTAAACTTGACACACAGGTTCATCTTTGGCCCCAGAAGGTTCTTATCTATATCAGATATTCTAATGTCATTGTGTTGCCTGGCAACCACCGACCGACAGACTAAAATGACTCATCTATTATGTACCTATATAACATCTTATGAAATCATAGTATGGCATCATTTTTGTTTCATTACACAGTATCTGTTTTTTTATATACTCAGTGTTACATTACATCATTTGGGACATTAATTTATGAAGTCAAATTTCCTGTATTTAGAGACTACATTTAAAGTTTACTCTTGGATACATAACTTTATAAATGGTATCAAAAAAGTGGCATTTCAATCCATGTGAATTAGTTAAGCCTACAAAAAAAAAAAACAGTTCATGCATTCTTGTCAGCTGTATATTATTGACATGCACTTAAGGCATGTAAACTACAATGAAAATTATAAATCTTTTTTTTAATAAATGTGTGTCAAGCGAACAAAATTTTGCAGTTATAGTTAACAATTGTACAGTTTTCATTATACACTTAAAGTGTACTAACAGTGTCTGGCTGATGAGTGCAGAAGTTCATTTATTTTTAGATAATTGTTCGTTGATGTGGTCCCTTGACTGTAAATTCATTATTCTGTATATAAGCATAAAACGACTTCCATATTGGTCTGCTGTTTATTTGTTTTTAACATCTACCACACCTCTTTTTTACTTTTCTCTAACCAATCAGTAAACAACAGCTTAAATTATTTCTGAGCTCATGCCCTCCTATGAATCCGCTGTACCTTCATGACATCTGTCTCCACGATGGCATCGATAAAGAGCTTGTTCTCTTTGAGCTCTTCTGAGGTGACCGTCTCTGACACACCTGTAGACATCTCATAGTTGTCCAGCAAGCTGATGAAATCTGAATAAAAAGGCGTAACCTCATTAAACTGTTTAATCGCTGTTGTTCCAAATAAACATAATAAAGAAAACCTTTATAGGCCTGACTCATACTCACATTCATATGTCTTAATACTCTTCAGTTTGTCTTCATTCACATATGTGAAGAGTGGAGCTTTGGCCTGGTCTCTGGCAACGTTACTGCCCTGAGCCACATAACCCGCCTTCCCCTAAATATAAAAACACAAACATTCAGCAACATGTTAAAACTGAACAAACAAATATGAGGATTCATAAATAATTGACATGTAAGCAGCTCATAAAAGCATCACCCAGTTTCAATGCTAAATACACTTAAGCAGCTGCTTGATGACGCCAACTTCACTAAACACACACACACAGCAACCTATAACTGAAAACACACACAATGGGCAAAAACAAACAAATGGCCGACTGTACCCTCATACACACAATAATAACATGGACTGAACCACCACTCCACACCATTAGCACTTTATATAACCACTGTAGAAATTAGCCACACTGATCTAAACTGCACGGCTGTAAATGCTGTATAGACATGCATTCTGTACAATACAATAATTATAGTTCTACAACTGTTTACAACTGTATATAACTTGTATAGTTCACATTTCATATTTCTGTATAGTTTTCATATTTATATCCTGTTCATAGCTTGTACACTCACTACAGCCTGTACATACTTATAGTTATAGCATATTCATAACATACCTTCATACCTTGTACATTGTAACATACCCATAATAGACACATATTTTTCACCCTCATTCCTATAATAGACCCATTTTTATATAATATATCTATATTATTGCTAAAGCACTTTCTGGATGGATGCAAGCTGCATTTTGTTGCCTTGTACTTGTGACATGTGCAATGACAATAAAGTTGAATTCTATTCTATTTTATTCAACCACTTGAAACACTGAAGGAAAAGAATTAAGATAAAATTTACCAGTGGGCTGTGAGGCAACAGTGCTAAACACCATGACTCATCCTTCATTTCTTGCTTTA